TAGAGAGACTTAATAGCTCGATCATCAGCTAATTAAAAGCCCAAGAGAAACAAATCTACTGGGCTAAAATCCAAGAAGAAACCATGCATGTATTTGGAATTTAGAACGGTAGAATGCCGAGAAGAACATAAACTTGATACAGGTTAAAACCTTATCGGAGAAGGAAATCTGGGGAACTTTGTCATCAAAATATAATAAGCAATGGATTGATACTTTTTTGATTTGAGGGTCTGAAAGAAGGAGAATTATCTGCAAATTACTTATGCTACTTCTCCTAAGAACTATTTTAGAAGATTCATTCCACAAAGCATGAATCTTCCGTTTTCTTCTGTGTAGTGTCCATGGACGGAGGAGGAGGAGGAGGAGGAGGCGGAGATACGATGCATGTTTAGTAAAAAAACAAACCAAAAATGTCCTCGCAGGATGATGATTGACGAGCGCTGCTGTCTTTGGATTCGAATATATGCATGTTGGAGAAGAACAGACGAGTCATGTGATGTCTGATTGCCTGTTTGCCTCCAAGCTTGTTTAAATTACTATTTAACAAGCCAGCTCACGCAAATGAACTGGCGCTCTGCGGCCATAGGAATTTTTTATTGCATTTTTAGTCATCTTGATAGATTAACGAGGCAGCATTTAGTCACGGTTAGTATAGAAAAGAAAAATGTTACAGCGAAGATGAAAATATATTTGATTAAATAAATAGAAATATAATGGTTAAAATAAATATATTTATAGAATAATTTTAGACTAATTTTTTAATTTTTAGATAAAAGATGTCATTGTCAACAATATTTTTTAATTGTTATTCATGAAATATCTTTATAAAAATTCTCAATTTTAAGATTATTCAACTAAAATATATAGAAATAAAAAATATTATTACTATAATTTTAAAATTTAATTTACAGGTTGATTTGGGCAAGGTCCTAGTCATATGTTAGAATGATCAATATAAAAATAAAAATAATTATTGTTATAGTTTTAAAATTTAACTTAATGATCAATCTAGATCAAAATAAAAATAAAAATAATTATTATTATAGTTTTAAAATATAACTCAAGGTCGAATCACGACTAAACTCAGGTCACGAGTGAGGATAGTAAACCCAAATTGATTTGAATCTATATAAAAATAAAGAGTGATTATTATTATGGTTTTAAAATTTAATTTGTAGGTCAATTCAAGTTAATATAATAATAAAAATAGTTATTGTTATATTTTAAATTTTTACTCTGATTTTGATTTGGGATAAGATTGAGGTCACAAGTTGAAATAATTAATCTAAGTTAATCCGAGTTGATATACAAATAAAAATTATTGTTATAATAATTTTAAAACTTGATTCAATAATCAATAAAAAAAAAGATTGTTTTGTAGGCTAATAGGATCAATCTAAGTTAACATAATTTTCTTTAAAGGACAAAACCCCAACCTTGTTGTAACTATTTGATATATATAAAAAAAATACAAGTAATGAGTTTTAACTGGTATTTTATTTCAGGTCGATTGAATAATGAGTTGATCCAGTTATTTTTATTAATTTAGATTGGGTTAATTTTTATTTTAATTTTTTCTAAATTTAAATTTATTTAAGTTCTAAATTAACCAGATTTCAGATCAATCAGTCACATTTATTTTGATTTTATAACTAAATTTATTATAATATTATTATTTTCAACATCCAATATAAATTAATGTAATATATATAAATATATATTTTTTATTGTCATGTTTACAGCAATCAAATATGATACAAATACAATTATATATCATAAACATTATTATTAAACATAATTAGGATAATAATAAAAATCTCACGATGTAATATGCAAGGAATATAAGAAAAATTTCAGTATCACATGTTACACAAAGATAGACTGAAAAGGTACATAAAAATCAGTATTAAAAATGTAAAAATATATAGAAGTATAAATAAAATTCATGTTTTTATTTTTTTTATTACTAGACACAAATTTTGAATAACCAAGAATTAATCAACATATCTTGAAAAAAATACTATAATAATTATAAAAAGATCGATCATATTTTATTTTTTATTTTCAAATTTAATCATTTCTACAAGCCTTTCTCTATCTAGTAATTTAAGAGAAAAACCAATTTTTTTTAATCTAAAAATAATGCTGTCATCTCTTGTTATAATATTTACATAAAATAATTAACCCCCTCATGAAAACATGATCACATCATCAATCACAATACTATACTAGTTTCTACTGTTTTAAAAATTTATAAATTTAAAAATAACTAATTAAAAATTTGAAGTAAGGTTATGGATAGCTAAATATTTATTTTTGTTTAACTCTTACTTCTTTAAATTATATTCGAATCTTTTTTTCTAAAAAAAATACAAATTTAATTTTTTTAAGTTATATCCCGCGCATCGTTGATTAGCGACAAATAAAATAGCAAGAAATTCATGGCCATATTCCATAATATACAATTATACTTGACCAATTAAAGTAAAAAATAAAATAACAAACGAGGATAAATCTAGCTCTGAAATATTTTAAAAACCTTTTTTTACAAGGCAAGGCGACCGATAGCTATAGCCCCCCACTCACCGTTTCTTAAACAGATTTTTATCATCGAGGTATAATCATATAGACATAGAGGTGCTTCCATTCTTATCCCCGATGAAGAGTGTCAAGAATATGGTCAACCTTCTACTTCTTCTTCTCTGCAATTCTTTATAGTCTCCTAATCTTACATGCTAGACTTCCCTCAATTGCCTAATCTGTAGGTGCTCCTTTTCCCTTAATTTTCTAGATTTCCCTTGATTAGCTGATCTGTAACCGTGGTTCATGGATTGCTTTATTTCGTCAATCATCAAAAGCCCATGTTGGCACTTCATTGGTTTTGCATCTGGATTATGTTTTTCATGATTTCTGCTATCAATTATCGCTCGTAATCTGTTAGACAAATGCGCTGCATTTCCTTGAAATCTGCTGAGGGAATTGTTTTTGTTGTTAATTAGATTGTAATTATTGTATGAAATCCATGTTGTAATCTCCGCGATTCTGTTATATTTCCTGGTGATTGATTCAACTCATGTTGTAGAATTTCAAATTTCTCAAATATGTTCTCAAGGTTAATTATGTTTCGTTTGGAATGAATGTTTTGTAACTATTGTTTCGCTACTTATTGCAGGAAGGAAGTGTTTTGAGGAAAGATGTCTGGTTATATGGCTACGGTATATGAAAACAAGATGTTGTCAAGCGGCGAAAATCTGCTGACTGCCATAGTGCCTTTGATGAAACTTCTCTCCCTTATTGTGATAGGATTGGTTCTTGCACACCGAAAAACCCAAATGATCCCGAGAGAAACATTTAGGCTCCTAAGCAAACTAGTTTTTGCTCTGTTCTTGCCCTGCCTGATTTTCACCGAGCTGGGTGAAAGCATAACGCTTCAGAACATTGCCCTTTGGTGGTTTATCCCTGTCAATGTGTTGGTTAGCACAGTCATTGGTTGCTTTCTCGGGGTGGCAGTGGTGCTTATATGTCGTCCGCCTCCACAGTTTAACAGATTCACCATTATCATGACTGCCTTTGGTAATACTGGAAATCTCCCTCTCGCTATTGTTGGATCTGTCTGTCACACTAAAGATAGCCCATTTGGACCCCATTGCCACTCGAGGGGAGTGGCATATGTCTCTTTTGCGCAATGGGTTGCAGTGATTCTTGTTTACACCCTAGTTTATCACATGATGGAGCCTCCAATGCAGTACTATGAGATTGTCGAGGAAGGAACCGAGATTGAGGAACAACCAGTTAGTAATGTCAGTAGACCTCTCCTGGTAGAAGCTGAATGGCCAGGCATTGAGGAAAAAGAAACTGAACATTCAAAGACGCCTTTTATTGCTAGGATCTTTAATAGCATCTCAAGTCTTTCACAAACTACTTTTCCGGACATTGACCTGGGTGAACACAGTTTGAGCAGTCCCAGGTCCATTCAGTGTCTGGCTGAGCCGAGAGTTGTGAGAAGGATCAGAATTGTAGTTGAACAAACTCCCGTCCAGCACATACTTCAACCTCCAACAATTGCTTCTCTATTTGCTATCATCATTGGAACGGTGCCTCAACTAAAAGCTTTTTTCTTTGGATATGATGCTCCTCTATCTTTTGTTACAGACAGTTTAGAAATTTTAGCTGGAGCTATGGTTCCTTCTGTGATGCTAATTCTTGGGGGTATGCTTGCGGAGGGTCCAAAAGACTCTACCCTTGGGCTTCGAACTACAATTGGCATAACAGTTGCAAGGCTTTTGGTGCTTCCTCTGTTGGGAATTGGTGTGGTAGCAGTGGCTGATAAACTGCATCTTCTTGTCCAGGGTGATGCAATGTACAGATTTGTGCTCTTATTACAGTACACAACACCAAGTGCCATTCTACTGGGAGCAATTGCCAGCCTGAGGGGTTATGCAGTCAAGGAGGCCTCTGCTCTTCTCTTCTGGCAGCATGTCTTCGCCCTGTTCTCCCTTTCATTGTACATCATTGTCTACTTCAAATTACTCACTTATATATGAGTTTGTGGTATCTTACAGCCTCGGAGTATTGTATTGTTTTCATCCAAGTTCTGTCAGATTGCTGTTGTCCATTTCATTGGAGTAGTTTGCTTTTAATAAGATGGAATTCTGTTCATTTGCTTTCTTTATTTTGCTGGTTACTGGTGGTGGTAATGAAAGGTGCGTGCTTCCTCAAATTTGGTTTTGTTGAAAGATTAAATAAGGTCCTTATTCTGTAAAATATTTCTGAGAGCATATTTAGCAGTCAGGGATGGTGTAGACAGATACAGACAGCCATGTGTAATGACAAAATGATGGATTGTATTCAGAAGTTTTTTTTTTTTCATTAGATACTAGAAAATTTCAGTCCCAATTTCCAGCTAATACAAGTCAGAACTAGCGGTTTCACCTAGACGGCCAGCATTCCGCATCAAGTTGCACGGGAATGGACACTGAAATTGAATTGGAGCACTGGATAAATGCTACGCTTTTTCATAGGATACATGGCTGGTGATTCCTTTATAATTTTTTATCCCATACACGATGAGCTTTTCACTTCTGTGATGATGTTTTGAGAAAAGAGAAGGGCTAACTGTTCCGTTTCTCCTTTTGCACTGGATAGTTTTCAGGTTATATTGACATTACCGTTTGCATCATTCATCTGTCTTGCTATTCTAAAAGTTCCAAAGGGAATGGGATGCCACTGTACAGTGATAGAGGATTGCCCCCATGATGGGTTTAGGTGGTAACTCAATCAACTTGAGATCCCAGGTTCAACTTCCATCATTAGTTTTTAAAAAGGTGGTCTGTGTACGTTCCTTAAGCTTTGGAGTGGGAGTTTCTCCACACGTGTAAGAGCTGCGCCGGATTTTCAATGAATTCCTTGTCGGGCAGCATTCTACATTTGTTATGAGTTGTGACTTTCTCTTGAACTGAAAATATGATGCATTACTTCACCGCTATCGATTTTTTCTTCTCTTCATGTAGTGTGGCGTTTTCTAGATATCAAAGATATATGGGAAAACAAGGGCCTAAAGACCCATGATGACATGCAAATATGGGTCTAGACCTTTTCTAGAAAGTGGGCTGTTATCTGTAGATAGGATTGAAGTATTGCCCCATAGCCCAAATGATTTCAAAAATCAACTCACCCTCTACTGCGCAGCATGTCAGGTCAAACTAAGTACTTGAATCTGGTGTGAAGAACATTTCAAATTTGGACAATTCATAGTTGTTAAAAAGAAGGATTGAGAACTGACACAGGTGAGAAGGAGACAGTGTCGGGTGAGTCACAGGCAAGAGATGATTGTGGTAAAGAAGATTCAGAGGGAGGAGAAAAATCAGATGATGAGCAGGAAATATGAGAGGGAAGAGTGAAGGACAAACATGTAGTCTTACCTGAAGAGAGGACGCAGCTAATAGTATCCATGAGAATGGATTGTGTTGGAAATTTTTCTGCGTAAAAATTCATATTTCGAGATATGTAAACATGTCTAGAGAAAAGGTTTAGATAACGAAATCCTTTATGATTAGAACTATAACTAATAAAAATATAAGGTATGCAATGATATGATGATTTATTATACGTGTAAGGATGAAGACATGAAAAATATTAACTCGTAAAAGCTTGAAAATAGATGAAGTCAGGTGGACGGTGAAAATGGTGTTCATAATATGATAAATAATAAAGAACTTTGATAAATAATCAATTAATTATGATGATAGCAAATTAGAGACGCATCAACCCAAGATAGGGACGATGAAGATAGCAATTGGGAAACCATTGTTTTTGTTGTTGCAAATCTCAGGCATGATTGGCCTTCGAATATGACCAGATCTGTGGACCCAGGCAATATCCTTTCCGAATGAGATCAATAACAGAAACAAAAACGTCTTTTCCTTTTAATTTTCTGAAGCAATGACACGCCATTATCAAAAATAGACTAGCTCCACCTATCTTTTTCTCCTTTGAGCCAAGAGAGAATGACATAAGCAGCAGCTTTGTAATAATATAAACGATGGCGGTCTTGACATAACCCATGAGATTATTATAAACTGAGAAGAGGTAATATTCTATGCTCTAAAAGGAAGGAAATCGTGGCTGGCATACAAATTGTATCCGGTGGTTGCGAATATGCGGAGAATCGTAATAAGAACAAGGCCCATGCCTTGTTTGCCA